CTAATAAATCAGAAGGAATTTAATGACTCCTTATGGACTCGTTGAGAATGATTCTAGTCTAGTTCGTGGCCTATTAGAAGTAGAAGGCGCTCTGGTGGGATCCGTTTATAAATAAAAACATAAATTGCAATCTTTAGTGGGATTAGGTGTCTAGGTGACTTGGTGGAGGATTAGGTGTCACTATAGTGGAGATTACATGGAGAATGCAGAATTTATGTTAACTAAGAGCATGACACCTTTCCATAATCATTATAAGACTTCTTATTTAGTGATCTAGAGTATACATAGGAGAATTTCCTCTTACAATTCATTCTTCAAACAAAACTCAGCAGAATTTCTCTCTTAAAAACACATATATAAGCTGTAAAAAAAAGGAAGCAAGAGGAAAGGGTGATGAAGCAAAAGAAATTATAAACAAGATCAAGTTTAGCTTCTAGATAGCCATATAGCCCAAGGTGAATCACATGTTTTTGTTTACAAATGTGATACACAATATGTAGTTATTCACAAAATATGATTATGAATCATGAATCTTATATCATCACATGATTTTATGCAAGAAAACTTATGAATCATTATCTCATTGAAAACATGTTTGCATAATCATAACATAAATTTCAATGGTTTTCCAAACAGAAAGTTTTAAGGCAAAACATATCACTATCTTGAGCATGAAAACATAGTTATGTTGTGAAAAAACTTCATATATACATATTCATAAGCATATGCATAAAAATTATGTCATTCTTGAAAGAATGTTGATAAAAGAATATGTGGACTTATGCAATCCTTGATTAGGGATCGTATTACATCCCTGTATTTAAGTGAAAAGTTTCGAAGTTATGTACCGACGAGCTATATGTGATAGTTGTTGGTTTGGTTATTCATAGTATTCATGTGTTGCATCAAATGTATTACTAAGCATAATCATAACTTCAAACATTATATTGACATTGTATATATATATATATATATATATATACATATACAGGGAGGTTCAATGGAAAACCTCAAAAAAATGAAAAACTGAAGAACACTTTGTTAACCATTCATCTGAAGGATATGCACAAGTGCATACAAGTAACTGAAACTGTTTTTTGGTTTTATGCACGTGTGTATACCGTCCAGTTACTAGGGTGTTCCTCAATTTTTCATTTTTTTGCGGTTTTCCTTGAACCTGACTCTATATATATATATATATATATATATATATATATATATATATGTGTGTGTGTGTGTGTGTGTGTGTGTGTGTAGGGCCAAGATCAAATGCTAACCATCATTTTTGTGTTAACCTTATTAACTGATCTTGGCCATCCAAATCTATAATCAACGGTTAAAATTAATCAATAAAAAAAATTAAATTTCAAAGTTTGAATTTTAATGAGGCCTAGTGAACAATGATGAAAGGAGCATTTTGGGAAGAAAAAATACACTTATCAAGGGTATTCTAGTAAATTGAATTCATTTGTAACCCCCAAACAATTAATAGGGAGTTACAAACAATCAAATCCCAAAAAATATGCATTCATATTATTATTAATTTTTTTTACTATTGATCTTAGTATGAATTCCTAAATCGCATAAGAAACACGGTAGTAACAATTTTCGATATTGATCAATTTGAACACAAATGAACTGTGAACACAATTTGAACAAAAATGAACAACCGTGAACACAATTTGAACACAAATGAACCGTGAGCACGATATGAACACAAATGAACACGATATGTGCAATTTTTGGCCCATATATTCACATACATATGTCCCACAAAATTAAGGTAGCATCTGTTAATTTGTGTTCATCTGTTAATTTGTTCAAATTGTGTTCACGGTTCATTTGTGTTCAAATTGTGTTCACGGTTGTTCATTTGTGTTCAAATTGTGTTCACGGTTCATTTGTGTTCAAATTGATCAATACCGAAAATCGTTACTACCGTGTTTTCTTATGCGATTTAGGAATTCATACAAGAATGAACATGGAAGATCAATAGTAAAAAAAAATTTAATTTTATAACTCCCCATTAATTGTTTGGGGGTTACAAATGAATTCAATTTACTACAATACCCTTGTAAGGGTAAAATGAACAAGACATAAACCTATAAGAATAATGGAATTTGATTGGTTGAGAGGGTTTTCAAAGTTAACACAAAAATGATGGTTAACATTTGATCTTCCCCATATATATATATATATTAAAGACTTGTAATCATTCAGCAAATATATTTGCTTAAAAATGTATGTGTATAGGTAAGGTTTAAGAGAGGATTTAGGATTAGAGCTCTTAAGAGTGGTCACAAGAGTTGTATAGTTTTGACAACAATAGGAATTGTTGTAATGTGGATATTAGCTTTTATGTTTCGTTCGTTTCCGTGATGTTGGAATGTTGGTTCCATCTTTTGTAAAAGTCTGAAATGATAAAATTATGTTTTTAACCGCTTCCGCAAGTTGTTACTTTATTTGAATTAGTTTATATTATGTTTTAAGAATTATTATTAAAGAAACAAGTATAACACACCATTTGAGTCTCGATTTCGAGTCTTGAAATGGGGTGTTACAGAAATCATACAGAATATATACAAAAGGCTAAGCCTTGATATCAGGAAACTATCCTATGATATCCCTGATTTTATGGGATTATACACAATCACAAATTCTATGGGATTATGTACGATCCCCTACTGAATACAAAATCATTTACATGTTCCCATAGTTACATGTAATCACTCAAATAAAGTGATGTATTTCTCATTGATTTAGAGGAACTTTACACTAATATATATACAACAAAGGAACCCATTTAAGGAAATTATATTATCACACTAAGAAAGAGAAACCCTGATTTACTATATCCAACACTCCTCCTCAAGTTAGAGGAAAGATGTTAATCATGCCCAACTTGCTACAAATAAAATCTATTTGTGCTTTCTGTAATGGCTCGGTCGGAAATGCAAGCTGGTACTTTGTTCTGATGTGTACCGGTTGAATCGATGGAGTGTCTCTCTGAGTTCCACAACATGGTCTCTGATAAGATGACAACCAACCTCGATATATTTGGTCCTCTCATGGAATACTTGATTCTTGGCCATATGAATAGCTGACTGGTTATCACAATACAGTCTCATCAAGTCGTCTGTAATCACTCCAAACTCACTTAGAAGCCTCCTTACGTATGTCATTTCGCATAACACATCTGCCATGGCTCTGTACTCTGACTCGACAGTTGATCAGGAGACAGTATGTTGTTTCTTGTTTTTCCAATAAACTAAATTTCCTTCGACAAATACAAAGTACCCAGTAGTCGATCTCCTGGGAACAGAAACAGGACAACCAACCTAATATGCATCTGAGAAACCATATGCCCTTCCATCTCCTTCTTCATTGAATGCACCCACTCAGTAATGACACTGATCTGAATAGAGTTTCCCTATGCCTGGTCTGGCCTTAAAATACCTCAAAACATGAAGTGTTGTGTCCCAGTGACTATGGGTGTACAAAAAAACTGCCAACCCTCTCAACCCGCCTAACCCGACCCGCCAAACCGCCAATTAAGAGGGTTGAAATTGGGTTGACTTAGCTCAACCCAACCCGCCACTAATATATATAAACTTTGATAAAAATTTGTTTATATCTATGTATAATATACTAGTCTATTACATTATATATTAATAATGTTTACTTATATACATAAAATTTTATATAATGTTTGTTGAGTTTATGTTTGTATTTTTTTTAGCTAAATGTATAGGTTATCAAAAGAGGTTCACCACCAGATAATAATGACAAAGAATCTAATAAGAGAAAATTATTGAAATCGTTTTTGCAGCTAGGGGTGTAAATGAGTTGAGCATTTAACGAGCTACTCGAGCTCGAGCTTACTAATTATCGAGCTCGAGTCGATCTCGAACACAAAATAAAACTTGTTTAACTTAACGAGTCGAGCTCTGTAACATCAATGCTCGACTCTATTCGTTCGAAAAGTTGATTAAACTTTACGAGTCGTGTCGAGGCGAGCCATTCAAGCATACTCTTTTTCGAGCCAAATGTATTTTTATATTTACAAATGATATAATATAAATATTAAAAGTTATCGAGCTTAAGTTAATAAATGAGTTACTAAACAAGTCTGAAGTCCTTCCTTTTTTATTTTACTCCATATATTTGAATGCCAATGCCAATTTCACTTTTTATACAAGGATATAAAGTCTGAAAATAGCTTAAAATGATATATGGTGGTGTCGATTGGATAATGAACTGCAGTTCTCGATAAGAAATCACTTTCCATCTTTGGTGTAAACAATAATTGTATACCTCTCAGTTGACAATAGCTAAACTGGTTCCACCTTGGCTGCTAATTTGATTGAACTAATCTCAATTCCCATAAATATGTAATTACCATCTTTTGGATCATTTTTATTCGGCACTCCAACTGGACTCAGGTGTCACCACCCTTTTTTAAATTCTTGATTATTCTATTAGAGAATTATACTTGAGCCATTTCCCTTGAGGTCATTAATGCCACTCAATTCCCATATTTCAGCAGGGTAGCTATACTCAAATAGTTAGGCTACCTGGATGAAACGAAAGGTTTTGGTAAAATATTGTGAAATGCTATTGGGTAGTTCTCTTTATGCAAGGTAACAATCAAACAAAAGGATGTGTGTGTAGTACTCTGTACATGTTCACACCATGGAGTTCGTTTATGCATTTTATGGTCCAACTCAATAAAATGTATTGGCTTTGAGGAAGCTACTTAAACAATAAACATACCTTCTTTTAAGCACTTTCAGGGTTACTTTCTTAAAGTCTGAAATTTGTAACATTTGGTAAAACCACTCCATGTGCAAGGTGAGGTTGATTATTTGTGTGTATGTGATTGCCTGATTGGCACACGCATGAAACAACTTGTATTTTGCTGTTTTCCTTTAGTATGTTCAGACTTACTTCCCAATACATTGGTACACTATTTTCAATTGGGTTGTATTGCTTCTGTGTAGATTTGCAGTGCTTGCCACTCGCATGGAGCAGTATATCCAGGGACAGTATAGGGAATTGGTTGATCAAGCATATATTAAAATTGTGAGTAACCTTCTACAATCCTTCTGTTGGATAAGATACTAATTTACAAGTACAGGACATCATAGTTGGAAGTTGAGAAAAATCATACTTTATAGTTCTAAGTTGAGATGAATCATACTGCTTTGGGTTTGCTTCTATTATCTCTTATATTGAAGTATGATGTTATACACACACACACACACACAATGTTTCTACCTCGTTGTTGGACCATTGGACCACATTGTACATTATTTCTTCCCATGCCAGTTTATGGAATAGACAAGATTTTCAATCAATTCTCTGTCTAGTCGACTAATAATGAGAACCAGACAACCTTTGTGTCTGCTGTCTGAAAAACTAAACGGTAGTTTCCACTTGCGGTTAACATCACTCTGTTGCTGCTAAGTTGTAGGGGCATTGGTCCTAGGATTTTACATGCCAACTTGAGTGGTCTTGGAGTGTCATGAAATTTCAGGTAATTGACCAATGAATCAGTCAATCACTTGTCGAATAAAGAAACCCATAAGTTTGTTGAACGGTGTCCTCTTTTGGATCCTAGGTCTGGTATTCCAGGGCCTGAGCATTGATCATCTCAAGGCTGCCTCACTTCTTGCAGTATATAGTACTTTTTTAGTGCTCATATGTTCAATACTGGTAAACTAATTTTAGGTTGAGATTTGACTTTGCTTCTGGTTTGTGTTGATATGGTCAAGGTATATTGAGAGTACATTCGAGCAGGGGCAGACCAAGTAAGAGCCGAGCCGCTCCCGCTGACTCGATTATTGATCGAGAAAAAAATTAGACGTCTGAAAGGTGCACCCGCTTGATTTAGAGTGGTGTCCTTAAATACTTTGAAGCCAAATTTATGACAAAAGTTATACATGGGTGGGATGGTTGGATTAGCACTCTACATGCAAGAGGTCATGGGCTCAAACTTATTTTAAGTGAAAGTTTAAATTTTTATCTTTTAGTTTTAGGCTCCAGGGCTGGCCCAGGACATTAACTCAGCCCTACAAAGCTGTTTCTGAAAATATTAACAGCAAAAATATAGTTAGAAGGATTGAACTCACAACATTAGTATAATTATAGGCTTTACTACCACTATGCCAAGGCATTTTTTTGTTAATTTCTCTCCCGTTTTGATTTTATTATTTTTTTCAGGATTTATTTTTCTTTCTCGATGCCATTTCATCTTAAAAATCATCGTTATTATCTCATTTTCAAGGAAACATATATTTATTTAAAGATCAAGGTCGATTCCATATGAGAATTTATTTTATTCCCCAAATAATTTACTTTTCCCTGGTCAAACCACGTTGACTTTCCCTCAGGTCATACCGTGAGTTTGTGGACCTCCGATCCCCTTAAAGGTGCACCTGTTCAAAAAAATACCTTGCTTCGCTAGTACGCTATTGATGCATTTGAGTACATTCCCATGTACCCATTCTATTAGCTTGTTCATGTCCGTTCTTGAAATTACGTTATTGATGCATTCACAAATCTCGTTTGGAGGTCACACATTGGTCCATTGGTAACAGTTTGTTCATGTTCTATATGATGCTCCGACAGTGTTGTATTTACATATATATATACACACACACATATAGGGTTGGGTTTCAAACGAGAATGTGGTCAATTTGTGAGAAGTTCCGAGATCATATATGATTACAAGTGTGCATTGAGATGTTTGTGTTTCATTGTGTAGGAGAAGCCTCTCGAATGCGAGATTTATGTGTTGTAGTTTGAATCAGTGAGTTGCAATCATTTTGTAAGGATCTATTTGAAAGTAATAATCATCCAATTGTGCTTGTGTTTTTCGTTTTTTTCTTCACCTGTGTTCATCAATAGTGGTATCAGAGCAACGATCCTTGGACCATGACTCATTCTGTGGCATCGCGAGTTGACGAAATGGAAGGAAGTATTGGTACGGTTCAAGCTGAGGTTGGATCTTTGAGGGAGGATGTTCAATTGGTAATGAAGCAACTAGAATTGTTGATTAAGATGCAAGAAGAAAGTAGCCGGCAAAGAGAAGCAACTCCGAAATCAGAAGAGGAGGAAATTTCGATTCCAAATTGGAAAACACCAGATAAAAAAAGAAGCATTGCTGATCAGCAGGACAGTTTCTGGCAATTAAAAGTCGAAAACTGGAGATGCCTGTGTTCGACCGAAAGGATCAGGATGGCTGCATTTTTGAGAGCCTAAAGGTATTGTGATCATAATCAACTTGCAAACGAAGAGAGAATTGAAGTTCCTGTGATAGCTTATGAAGATGAAAACCACCAAGGGGACAAGAGGTGAAGAAATGTGAAGAATCAATTATAACCATGATGAAAAACATGTTAGTCGAATATAGCCAAAAACAGGAGCAGAAATTGATGGAGAAAATGACCACTCAACAGAATGCAATGCTCAATGAATTGAGGGAATTCAAAGACCTAGTTATTTCTCAGCGATAAGATAACCAAACACCTCCAATAGCTGTCCCATTTGTTTCTCCTTACCAATCAGGTAACTAGACACCTGCATTAGTTGCTCCACTCGTGGATTCAAGCAGACCACTTGGAGGAACCAATACCCTTTATGGAAATGGGTACACACTATCCTCATGATTCACCAAAATCTGATTTCCCAAGTTTGATGGTGATGACCTTGAAGGCTGGCTATTTCGCTGTGAATGGTTTTTCCACATGGATTTCACACTAGACAGTGCTACACTAGACAATGCTAAAGTCAAGCTTGCTTCCATTCATATAGAAGATGGAGCTTTACAATGGTATAAATCATTTCGTAGAAACATGGGTGTGATTGATGAACCAACATGCGAAAACTACATGAGGCACTCAAAGGGAGGAGTGGGGAAAGAGTTTATGAAGATCCTATGGCAGACCTCAAGGGACTTGCTCGATCTGGATCCTTACAGAATTACCTTGACAATTTGATGTTGTGTCACATAAAGCAACATTATTTAAGTTGTTTTTGAGTGGTCTCAAGGAAGAAATGAGAATTCTCTTGCGAATTTTTGTCCTAAATTCATTACTGGAAGCATATGCTCTTGCCAGGATTTAAGAATCTACTTGAATGTCACTGGAACGTTGAAAAACTACTATAATAAACCCATGAATTCTGCCCAACCATTTATCCAAACCCCTACACCTGTAATTTCCATCAAGACTCATCCTACAGTACTTCCTTCACCCCTTGTGTCAACTCAAGTCATCTTGCTTCAAATCCACAACCATTTCAGACCAAAACTAGAAGGTTGTCAGATGCTGGGATAAATGAAAAGAGAGCTAAAAAATTGTGTTTTTGGTCCAATGAGAAGTTCTTCACAGGCCATCAATGCAAGAAAAACAACTGCACATGATTGTGGTGCAAGAACTTCCAGATGAGGTCTCTGTGGAAGAGTTCAAGTGGGTCGAAGAAGAGGGGAAATCATGTTGCAACCAAGATCCTAGTTCAATGGTAAGAGGTTCCCAAATGTGAACCTTGAGGACAAGGTTTTCTTAAGAGGGATGGACTGATATAAGGGAAATCGAGTAATGTCGTTTTAGGGTTTTCCAGGTCATTCTATTACTGATAAATAAAGGCAATTGTGGGCTGGACCACTTGTTCTGTTTTTCTGTTACGTGCAGCACTAGGATACCATTCTTATGATATGCTAATTGAAATATTTCTCTTATAATGAACCCCCTCTCTCTCCCCGATTCTTCTTCCCTTCTCTCTATTCATCTTCATCTTCATCTTCTTTGGTGATTTCTTTTACTTTTCCTAGTGTCAAGATGAATATACCTCCGATGGGGAACGGTAACTCCCACGACGAAGATGATGGGTGTTACAGCTCTGATACCAATTTGATAAGAATGCAAACTGAACTCTTATGCTATTTATCAATGAACGGAAGAAAATAACATGGATAGTGCCTACAATTCGAGAATTAGGTGATCTCCCATGACTCCAAGACTCAGCATTTCCTCCCCCAAAACCTTAACCCTAGTGACCATAAATACTCAAGTTCCCAAAATCTACGACAATTCAAATAGCGAACTAGTAGATATCGTAATAATGGAAGATGACTAGTTAATATAATAATAGAAGATAACTGAATCTACGAGAATTCAAATAGCATAGTAGTAGATATCATAATAATGGAAGACGGCTAGTTAATATAATAATAGAAGATAACTAATTAATATTAACTAGCCCCTTCAAGGTCTCACAAATTACCCCACATCTCCTTGAGATCGGAGCAGGTGCATTCTAACAAACACCCGGTCCTGTCAACTTCCTTAGAAAACATAATTTCACGTATGCAGGTGAAACTGTACACTGCTCAAGAAGTGACTGATGCCTCCTTCTGTGGGTCAACTGAACTTTTTTTATACATAATTTTTTGTGGAAAATTATCATTGGACCTACTATGATACATTTTGTTGGTTGCCCAATCAGTGTGACAATTACTTGAGAATATTGGATTTGTGTATATTGGAATCATATATCGCCCAGCAGGGGGGTGTTTTGCTTGCTTGTAGAAACATGTTAAGTTGTATGAAATTGAGATATAACAAATTGCAATGCATCTTAATTTAATATGCATTCAGATCTGGATCACTAAATACTCCAGTATGGGGTGTTAGTCCTGCTATGTGGAACCATTTTTCCATGTGTATACAATGCTGACGTACGATTAAACAGTGGTGCATGGGCATTTTCACTTTCATCCTTTTAATATTATGATCAAGGATGGACGATACTCTTTTTGCAGCAACTGATTTGTCAACTCAAAATTTGACTTCACATCTGCGAAGTTTTTTTCTTGAATTTCTTACTAGTCTAACAGCTGCCTATTTGAGCAAAAGGTTGATTACCGGCAACCCCAAGAGACCCCACACAGAACCCACCCCTAGGAACCACATGTTGGGAGGCCAGGGGCAGAGCTATAATTAGAGGGGGGAAGTGACCCAGTAAACTTTGTTGGATAAGAAAGAAAAGGAAATCCATCTATCCCTTCCTAACTGGTGTCCTCACCCCTACCAACCTAGTGCCCCATCTGGCCAGTGGACTTGCCCAAGATCCATCTCTTTCTCTCCCTCGATTGTTATTTGAGCTCTTTTTAATCTGTTATTAGTTGTTAGTAATTATTTATTTGTTTGCTTATTGTTAATTATTTTTTGGTTTTTTTTGTTTTATTAAGCATTAGGATTTATTAATTTAAAATGTTAATTTAATTTAAGGCTTGTTGTAAATCAATTTGTTTTTTGTTTATTATTGGTTGTTAGGGTTTGTTGATTAGAAATTTATTTAATTGAAGTACGGTCGGTTGAAAATCAATTTGTTTACTGTTAATTATTAATTGCTACAGTTTGTTAATTTAAGTTCAGCTTTGTTAAATATTGTTGTCACATTGAAGACGTAATGAACAACTTTTAGGGGATGAAAATTTTTAATGAATAAATGTAAAATGTATTTTGTGCTTATCTTTTATGTTGATACTGTACTTTGTAAGTAAATTTTATTATATATTATGTTAATAAAGTGTGCCCCCAGTCATCAAATGTTCTGGATCCGCCACTGGGGGAGACATTTCAGAGCTGACTCCGCGGCTGAGGCTAGTGGAGGGTTCAAGCCCGCCTCCCATAAGATTCGAACTCGAACCTGTTGTGTATTTGAACAAAGTCACTTCACCCCTTTGAACTGAGCTACACGCCCATGGGCGACAACCTATATATTAATATGTTCAGTAGATAAAATCAAACAAATTGTATTCTATCTTGTGTGTATTACCATTGAAGCTCAATTGATGGTGAATCTTATTTGACAGATCGGGATCATGTTTGTGACGCTGGAAAAGATCTCCCAGTCAGACCTAAAACACTCGGATATTTTTCTTCTGGAGAACTATGCTGCATTCCAGAATAGGTATCAATAGTTTCTATCCCAAGGGATTATGTTACTATAGTTTTCATGATCTAATTACTTTAGTGTAATATACCAGTTTTTTAATCATGGTTGCATTAGATGCTGATAAGAAGCAGTTCTATGCAGTCTGTATGACATGGCCAACGTTGTGCCACCTTTAGCTAAATTTTATCATCAAGCAAGTGAATTTTATGAACAGTCTTGTTCACGTCATATCAGCGTTGTCATATACTATGTAAGTAACTCTTATCTGGCACTATGTTCAATCATGTTTCTTGTCTTATCATGTTGGTTTTAGTAAGCTTGTTTAGAGTTTTGTTTTCATGATTTATGCTGATGTTGTTGGTTCATCAATCTTTGCAGCACTTTGAGCGGCTTTTCCAGTTTGCTCGAAGAATTGAGGATTTGATGTTAACTAATGCGCCAGAAGAGGTCAGTGCTAAAGCATTGCTTATTATTCGATATCCTAAAGAGTTGTACTCATTTCTATTTTGATATGAGGGTAGATCTTAAAATATATTTGTTACCATTGGCCCATTAACATACCATGCTTCCGTAATTATGAAAAGATACAGATATGCATTACGTAACTAGAAAATTTATCAATAGTTTAAGAGGGAGAAAACATATTAAATTGTCCCAGTTTTATTTCAGACATGCATGATGAATGCTACATTACCCAAAAAGTAAACCAAACACAACGACTATGTCCCACCCGGAAGTAGGGTATGGACGATGGATGCTCGGATTACCCAAAGTGTAGTCTTAAAAGCACAATTGAGAGGATTGTTGGCCGGATTTTGTATTTTACAACCTCGTAATATAGTGATAGCTTTTAATAGTTATTTTGGTTAAATCTCATTATAAACATACATAAGTACATACATACATATCGACAGCCGAAATCTATGAAAATATGCTTGACTAGAGGGTGTAATATACTACTTGAAGCAATTTCTGATAGATTCTATCATCTAGTTTCTAATATTTATTTCACTTGTTTATTTGCGCTTTTCAAATGTTTAGTTTAGACAAAATAAAATCTTCATCACGTTTTGATAACAAACTAACTAATCTTGGAAGAGAGATTTTGTCAACGATGGCACTTGGGTTAATCTCATGGCTTGGCAATCCTGCTATGAGAATGAAGGGTGAAGTGTGGTCTTTCTAAAATCTCTGAAGTTAGTCGTCCAACGTAGTAATAAATTGTCTTTGGTCGGTGGATTTTGTCCTTTGGCCTTCAAACTCTCTGGGACTGCTAGTGTTATGTTGATCCTGGTGGTTCAACCACTGACCTACACTTTCATGCTGGTCACCAAACCCAGTCTGATTAGCAGCTTTTCTTATGTAACATAGCTTGACAATTATACGTTGTTATTCTAATACCTAAATAGAGTAAGGCCAACTCTGTTCATATACTCCACTTGCTCAAATCTCTCTTCGTTACGTCTGCGGTGTCTGTTTTGGCTAATTTCTACCTCTTTTTACGACCTCCTCTTGGTAAAATGTCTCCTCTTCTAACTAATGCATTCAAAGGGTGTATCCTATAGAAGACCAACCCGTTACACAGATTGTTTCCTCACCCTCTTCTTAATCAGTGCCACCTCAAACATTCTCCAGCATCTCATCATGTGTAGTGAAGCAGGTCTGACCTTTGTATAGAATTTATAATCTGGTTTCAGTGTGACTTTCTGGTTATGTATGACTACTGGTGTTTGTTGCCATTTCATCCATCCTGCTGTATATGATCTTGAATAATGAAGAATGTCTTTCCTAAATACTCCCTGTTTGTACGTGTTTACCACATCTTTGTTTCCCTGTCAACATTGCAAAAACAGTTGCACTACATGTAATACGTTTTTGAATCCAAGGTGTTTATCCGTAACCTTGAGCTTTCTATTAACACCTTGCCTTTTCAACATGTTATTGGGAAGTTATATGGTGATGTGAAGTCATGTGCAGGACTGAAAATTATAAATCTGGACAGGAAGTTTTGGGGTGAAACAGATAATCCGAAACAGAAACAAGATAGGTTGGAACTCACAACTATAATCTAGAGGAAATTAATCCACCAAGATTAAAGGGAAAGGAACACTCAAAAGGTAATTAATCCACAAAGATCAAAAATCTCTAAAGGAAATGAAGATTTCAAGAAATAGAGATAACTCCATTCATTTTCACATAATTCATCAGCAGCCTCTTACAATTTTGAAGCCTCTAATATAAAGGGGGTAGGCAAAATGCACCCAATCTATTGCTAAATGCACCTCTACCTACTAATTTCCTCCTCATACACAACAACATCAATACTTACATTGTACATTTTCAATGCATGATTTGACATGATTCTGACATAAATATAAATAGGAGAAATAGGCAACAAACCCCATAGACAAGATAAAAACCTAGGCTGATGAATAAGGATTTGTCCAACTAGTACATAAATTTCAGCCAATAACAAAAAGAAGTACAATCTGCCACATCAAGCACCACTTTAGTTTTCAGCACCTTCTCAGAAAAAGTTTATCTCGTCTTATCCAAAAATACTGTTGCAATTTGAGGCATGGTTGGGAGTTGGGATGAAGGAACCATACTATTGAACCACGAGGTGATGTGCAACGGAGGCCTTAGATGGTAGACTACAACAGTTGAAGGTTTATCGCTGAAAGCTGTTTGCTGAGGGCTGCCTGCTGAAGACTAATTTTCTGAAGCCGAGAAGCTGGTGGTTCACTCCAAAAAAGATTCTTAACATGATACTACAGTCACACACATAATATATGAGACCTTGTTACATAAAGGACATAAGATAGGATTGGCATTAGGCCAGATACTGCAGCAAGGTGAATCCCTTGTCGGAATTCGGATTGCCAAACAGCTCCTCCAAGTGTGATATGGCTGCCGATGCTTGATTCAAATCCATGTCAATTTCTTGATTCTCGTTGGGTTGTTTGCTACCCTGGTATACACCCATATCATATGGAGAAGTATCTCAGAATATGTAGGTTCTAGATTAAGATGTACAGTAACATGTTAGAAATTACTCAAGGCAGTATATAGATATTTATCTACCTGTTCTGGTACATTACCAAATGTTGAACAGATAGTAATTTTGTTTGATGATTACAGATACCATTCCAGGTTGGAATGTCAAAAGCGGATCTTAGAAAGGTGATAAAATCCAGTTTATCAGGGGTAAGTTAAGGTACAAAAGCAACCTCCTCCTCCCAATCAGCTTTAGAGATACTTTGATGATGCGACTATTTTCATACACAGGTCGATAAGCACATCACCTTAATGCATAAGAAACTGGTGAAGAACATGACCTCTGAGGAATTGATGCCTACACTATGGGACAAATGCAAGGTATCCCCTTGATCCCAGAATCAAATGAAACTAAATGGACTATTCTTCAACTTCCAAATCAATATATACATCATTCTAGTGGTTTTCAAATTAGAATCCAATTTTGTTAGAAACATTCCATTTTCAAATAAAATGTCTTCTTTTTAGATGGTTCTTGATAAAATAAATTATGATTATCATGAAAGATGTGTAGATATAGTAACCATATATATGATGGTTGACAGAAAGAATTCTTGGACAAGTATGATAGCTTTGCTCAGCTGGCAGCCAAGGTGTACCCGAGTGAAAGCATTCCCTCTGTAACAGAAATGAGAGATATTTTAGCATCCATGTAGATTTTTGGAATCTTCAGATAATCGATCTTGGAAGTAAAGGTATGTTCATGGTTTTCTTGTTCAGGATTCAATTTTCAGATTTTGATTAGTACTAGTTGATAGAATGTGCTTCATAAGCATACATGAAATACAAACCACTTGTTTTATGTGTCTACACATGTCCATGTAGCAGAGGAAATATTTGGACACTACCCTCTACCTCTGTGTCAGATATACTGGTTGATGGTGCAATATGATGTTAGTTTAGATTAAGATCGTAGATAAGGGAAGTATAGATTTAACAACATTCTATCTAATAGTTAGTTTGCAGATTGAAGGGGTCAAATTGGGTGGGGGCACAAATGGCCTTGATCTGCACTACACAATTGCTGTCAATTTGGAGTCTCTTGTTCAAGATTTCATTGATGATGTTTTAATTTATTTTATTCCAGACTTTATATCTATTTATTTTTTGAAAATTTAATTTTGGTCATATATTCATTTTCATATATAATTCAATTTTCTTGGTATTGAGATTTTGCACATCATATAGGATTTATAACATAAATATAATTACATAATTTATAAAATGATAGAAATTCTTGAAGTTATGATTGTGCCAAAATATAAGAGATGTGTACAGCTCTCCTAGCATTGGGTACAAGTGATGATGTAGGAGGTCAAAAATCAGGTCAGGGCCGCATTTGGTGTCTTGGGTTGCACTACTGACTACTATGGTCAAGCCGTGTCGTAGCTTGATCTAGTCAAGACGCCACAGCGCCGAGCCGCCTGTGCCTTCCTCAGACCACCCCGGCCCACTTCTCGAATTGGTCCAAAAATGTATGATATGATTGGGTTGTGGATCGGATCCTAGGTTCGGCTTGACCCGCATGCCATGGAAGTTATGGAAATAACTAGGCCACAATAGTGTTGGGCCGAATCCAGTGGGCTGATAGTGTTGGGTTGTGTTTTTTGGGCAGGTTTGGGACCCTCAGATGGACCAATTTGATCGAGTGGTTTATCCATCACTCATGTGTAGTGATGGCCAAAAATGGGTCCCGGGCCGGTCCTAATCGGTCCCAAGATTTCTCATAACCAGCTATAACCGGTCCCGGTCAAATAGATGAAGATCGGTTAGGCTAGTTTATAACTGGTTATACCGATACCGGTCCCACCCTTAAAAAATTATTATTTTTAATTTTTTTAATGATATATATTTTTAATACATTATTAAATTTTTCGTACGGGTTACTCAAATACACTTTAAAAATTCGTTTTATTAAGAGAATTGTGAACGTTTTTTGTGTTTTTTGTAAATTGAGAACTTGGTATGTAAACCTTTCAACCTTGTTACATATTTATAGTGTTTATAGGCCAAAAAATCCAAAAAAAAAAAAAAAAAAAAAGTGGTAAAAAACGGTTAGTTAACGGCTATATTTAAAACAGTCATTTTTTTTAAACATTTTGGGCTGGGCCGGGCCGGGTCGGTCCATAACCAGTCTCGGTCCCACAAATCCGACAAAAACCATAACCGGATGTAACCGGTGGTCCCATAACCGGTCCTGGCTCCGGTCCTCCGATGGTCTCGGGCCGGGCCGGGCCGGGCCGGGTCGGGCCGGTTCAGTGATGGCCTCAAACTTTCAAGATATTATTTTAGCCTCTAGGCTTTTAAAAAGGCTATTTCTTTCTGAAATTAATTATTGAACTTCGGGGTCTTCAAATGTCAAACTGCATAAATTGTCCACACCACAAAACAGTTTAAAACTTTAATAGTGCGGTTTGCAGTTTGCATTTTTCTCAAACCTCATTTTACGGTATAGTTTGTTGTTTTGAATCATCAAACTTTGGTTCAAACCATACCACACTTCATATGTTTATATTTTTTTTTAAATATATACATAATCATTTATCAAATCAAAATAGTTAATACGTTATTAATTTTCAATTGTCTCTTTAAGTTTCACGTTACAAATTTTTTGTTTGGGTTATTTTCTTATTAATTTTCAATGGTCTAATTTATTTTGTACTTAGATTTTCAGATGTGTTTGAATTTAGTATCATACAAACGAGATATGCAACAACAAGAAGAAGGAAACGGATTGCAAAAGGAACTCCCAAACACTTGTCAGATGTGTCGATATCAATGGTGACTCATTATTTCAATTATGGAAACACTTACTCAAAATCTCACTTATCAGATTCCATTGTGGAAGACAAAATTTTCTGAAGAATTCGCCATGATATATCTGATCCATGCATAATATCATAAAAAATAGATACAAATTTTTTACTGCTACTTAATATCAATGGAGTTTGTGGTGCCCCATTTGTGCGATAAATTGTGATGAAGTCTCACACAGATTCAATTTATGTTGGTCTTGGTTTTGCTAATACGTAGTTATAATGTGGTGGTCTTTGTTTGATCTTGGTTTGCTGATGGACAGGACACGGATGATTAGTATATGTTACAGTTTTATTATATATAAATATAATAAGTAACTAATAAATAAAATAAAAGAAGATTATTGAAAGACAATATTACCCTTGACTTAACTGAGCATCTGTTAGTGGAGTTAGGTAAGGAAGCCAATCCAAAACAAAAGTGAAACCATGGTGACCATATATGTAATTATTTCATCACCGGGATTTAATCCAAAATTTTCAATAACCACGGGATGAAATTTCTAATTTACTCTTTTATAAATTGTTTCAATTTAAAACAGTGGCGGATCCAAGATTTTTGTTCGGTGGGGTCACCTTTAAGGTAGGCTAAAGATCCGCAAAATCATCCGATGTGTTTTTAACCTAATTACAACGTTTTCGATGGAATTTTAAAGTTTTTTAGTTGATTTCGAGGGATTTTTTAGTGTTTTTGTCGATTTCGAATAACTTTTTTGGTTTTTTTGATTGCTTTTAACATATTTTTTTTTGTTAGAGTAACGGTTTCGATTGGGGTTGAGGGCCCATGGAAAATGTAATGTGGGAAAGTGAAAAGTAAATCATGTAAACCTAAATTTTAACCTATGAATCTTTTTTGAGTTTTTAACTGGAGTCCCTTCCCCCCTCCTTTTCACCATTGCATCCGCCCCTGATTTAAAATGCAAAATAATAATTCAACGTTGAAGTATTTGCAAAAGAATGAGATTTATTCATTGTCTTTAACAACATATTCACAATTATTCATTTGTGATTATATGCATACATATAAAAGAATTATTTGTTCTTAAACTAACAAAATACAACCTTAAATAATAAAAAAGACTACATCTCTATAAGAAATAAAAGAATTATTGGACATCTAATTAATTTATGTTTTAGTACCCATAGAAAGTTTTGAAAGAATGAATAAACCAGCAGAAGAAACAAATACTGATGCAGCAAAACAAGCAAGATCTAATCCCGTAACCAAGGGTACGCTCTTGAACTTTTCCAAGATCCCGACTTGAAGCAACAACATTAAGGCATGCCCGATTTTTGACTTTGCTTCTGAGATGGATTTCATTCCGGCCCACGTTGGAAACTCCTGTGACATCGACATTTGCTTAAACCATTAGTAATTTAGCAGACATAATTGCTCGTATTCTAACTACTTAAACATGCATGTCTAGACACTACAACAAAATCAGGTTTATAAAATACAGAAAATGTTTAGGTATCATAATAGATTGTTTTATAATATTTAAATTTATTTGACCAAACAATTCTATGTCTTATGTAAAAGTGTTACACTAAGTTTACATGTCATTTTTTAGGACACTTTTGAAATAAAGTATCGTGTTAGTTTTTTTATAAGATATTTTTTAGGAAGTAACCTATAAACACAACATTTTATAAACAATTATTTTTGTAAAACTCTTCAAATGATATCATATTAAAAAGTTAACAGAACATTTTATTTCAAATGTGTCCTAAAAAGACTTGTTAAAATACCCACAAACATTCTATAAATTAACTTATTAAAACACTTTAGCATAAAAAGATACAAGTGTTTGGTCCTATAAACTTAAATCCAATAAAACAGTCTCTTAGCAGACTTAATTAGACAACTTTGGCTTCAATGATTTAATTATAATGACGTGGTATAAACTCAAGTTTGTTGCAGAGAAAACAAGAATAATTTGGTTTAAGAGACGCACCTTGAGATAGAAAAGCCCGAAAAGATTTGACGATGGAAGTGGTGATCCATTGCCCTTTGTAGCTCGTGATCCGATGAACATAAAATGCAATCCTATACCAAATGTAAGCATCGCAGTTCCGACCAAGAACATATCTGTGCACGAAAAGGTACATATATACACATTCATTCATATAACTAACTTTTAAGTTTCAATGTTATTAATGTAGCTGAAAATAATGGACGTTAATTAGAGAGACATACCTAACGCTTCAATGAGTAGGTGCATGATATGGCTGTGATCCGAATGGCGAGAAAGGGCATAAAAATACTGAAGATATGATTCCAAAACCAAAAAAACACCCTACAAATAACGAACATGAGATGTTTTTAGTATTTTGATGAGAAGAAAAGACTATTTGTAGCTAAGTAATAGCATAAGTTAATTGTTGGATGATTTAATTAACTGATAAACTAGTCATGTTTATGGAACACAACCAATCATATATACCTCAAGGAAGCATAATACTGAGCCAAGCAAGGTTCCTGCTACTCCAATCATGGCAAAAAACCGAGAGTCCATTATAACCTTCTCAACTAGTGATTGGATGACTGAACTCCATGGTCTACGTCTCTTAACCACCTTTAACTTACGTAGAATCGTAGTTCGTACCAACACCATGAGGGTAGCCAAGTCTACCTTTTCCCTTGTTTGCGGTGGCGCAGTAGCTGCCACCATGCTGATGGCAGCTACTTTAGTTACAGCCACTGACTTCCTCTCTACATCTCCGATCAATTGATCCTTTCTTGGACCAAAACCAGCCGACATGCACGTAAACTTGATCGCCCTCGGCTTGATCATCTTCGCAGGTGCACCTAGAGCCGACGGTAGGATCGACGTGCGGATTAATATAACGGCTGCCATTGATTTTGATTGGGCGACTTAATTCTATAAGAATCAAGAGGCATTTTGAGGTTTATATAGTAAATGTTGCATAAATGGTGGTGGTGGGGTCATTTTAGACATTTCACCAACCTATTTGGGTTGAAAGTGGGGAGGGGAGGGTTAGCTTTGGGGACAAGGAGTTTGAAAAATCAAAATGGGTTAGCTTTGGTCAAGCACGTGGAAGGCACGAGTAAGTTAGAACGGTACACGTGGCAAAGTGGGAATATTAGATTATAATATTGGTCAGCAATCATGAGCTGTGGGCGGGCGTGTTTTTGTTAGAGAAAGTCGCACAACACGTGACGGATTTTAACGGAAGCTTTGATGCCACCTTATTGGGATACTGACGAGACTAACCTCTCAATGCTTCAAAAATATTTTTTTAATTTTAAACCATAATTCTTTTTAAAATAACCATTCCTTATTCTCTACGCATCTTTCGTTTCGTATATTGAGGGACCAATTTGTTAAAAAAAAATCTAAAGCTTGATTTTATAGCACCCTGACCGAGGACCCTCGATCAAGATCACACCCTTATGCGCTGGTCGGTGCACGGTATGTAAGGGCCCCACCATGGACTGGTTTTTTACTTTTTATTTTCTCAGTTGTGTTCTTTTTCAATACATAACACTATTCAATTTTGTCTTTTTCCTTCTCAACACCACTATATAAATAATTCAAATTTCATATTACCAACACTTTAATCTCCATCGATTTATGGATGGAATCAGGTATGCAGTATTTACAGACAAAAGTATTCGGTTATTGGGGAAAAATCAATATACTTCTACTGTCGAATCAGGATCAACTAGGACAGAAATAAAGCATTGGGTCGAACTCTTCTTTCGGCAGATTTTGATTATTATATATCCACCCATGGAATAGGGAATAAAGCTACCTTGCCACCCACTGCTACTAAATCACCCCCCCCCCCCCAAGTTACGTGTTTAGTTGCCATCATTGAGTTTGGAACCCTGAACAGACTGCCGGTAGTCCCGTTAAATGGTGATTCAATATAGATTCTACATAATGACATGAATTCAAGTTCTGAATTTTAGAATTGAAAGAGATATTGAGAGAGATCAAGAATTCTCACTATTTTTCTTAGATTCCTGGACCCAATTTTGTTGGGGTTTTGTAGTTAATGGAAACGGACGGGTGGTTAGATGCTACTTCATTTGATGGTTGACTATTACTTATCAAATCTTGCTCTATAATCTGGTGTGTTTTTGTAGTCCAAATAATGTCGTACCATGACCTATTTGGAATAGTAGTAATTAGTGAAACAAAAAGACTTGTACAGACCACGTAAGTTACTCCATCTCCAACAGTCCAAAGATTTTTCCGTGGCATGTTTCGGTCCTCTTCCCCATGATATCATATTCATGGAATACGATTCACTTTCGGGATCTTTTGGCTCAACTTTATCCTAGTTTTGCCGAGGGCAAGCACGGCTTGGGGAGGAATTTTTACAACCAATCGATACGGCCCAATAGAGCTGCTTTTGCTAAAACTCGAGGCTTTCATGAGGCTGATCTTGAGCCGCCATCCAAGCACGAATACCTTCGTTTAAGAGAATTTTTTTGGTGTAGAAAGTCTCAAATTCAGGATCTTCCGCCACGCGAATTCTTAATACAATCTCCATTGCCATAATACAATCTCCATTACCTTAATACAATCTTCATTGCCGAAATTTAATTGTTGACATCATAGTAAGTTTACAATGTATTTTTTATATGATCTCATTTTTACAATGTATTTTTTATATAATCTTATTTTTACAATATATTACTTATATTAATTTTAATATAATCTCATTTTACAATGTATTTTTAATAATATTTTTGTAACACCTTTATATTATATCCATCAGAGTGATTATTATGAAACATTTGTTAACATAAAATCAAGTATTAAATTTCAAATACAATTTTGAGGGCATTGCGGAGGTCGGGAAACATACTAGAAATGTTTAGAAATATTTGTTTCGGTCATTGACTCGATATTCGGTCAACACGTCAAGATCTGATGCTCGTGCATTTGATGTTTATAAATGCAGGTGCCACCACTAGAGCAAGACTGTAAAGAGACATTGTATTTTAATGTCGGATGAAGTCTTTTATGTTTCAGGCGAGAAGAATTTTGTCTTGGAACTGGTATAAAATTTGGCCCGAACAATCTTTCGTTACCGGAGATAACAGAGCCGTCCTTTAGATCTCGGGTTTTACACCTTAATGAAAATCGTCTGGTATGCAGGAGTGATCTTACCCAAGTTTTTGAGCAACAAAAATTAAGAACAATAACAGACATTGATGCAGTACACCTATGTATTTGCTTTTGGTTTCCACTGGATTTATCGGTCAATAAACGAACCATATAGTCTCTGATGACTATACAAAACTAAAAAAACAACATGATCATAAAATACCTAATAAAAATTTGTCACCTCATTATTTAGTTGTCACCTCAATATTGAGTTGTCACCTACTAGGTTTATTTAAATCAAATTTTTGCACAGATGATTTTTTCTTGCTACCGGATGCCCTTCTAGCTGCTCCCATAATCTCTTCATCTGTTGGTAATGTACTTGGACAATCGTGACGATTATGTCCCTTCTGACCGCATCTACTACATTGTTTCTCATATACGGTCTCTCCTTAGGAAGGAATGGGTTCACGGGTACTTTGTCAATGTCCTCATTTTTTATCCACAAGAGGTGGTTTCACGGTCATATATTCAGCGGGATATTCCCATGCAGGAGGATTAATAGGATTTAGTACCTTCAAGTATGTAGCTCGATAAATTTGCGTTGTGTAGTATTTTGTCGCCCAAAAATTCGTTTATGTCATTTCAGTCCTCTTGCTAACTGCTATCATATGACCACATGGTAAACCATACAATTGCCATTGTTTACAACTACAACTCTGCTGCAATATATCAACTCTAGAAGTAAGGAAAATGATTCCGCCGGGTCACCTCTTAGGAGAAGAATGACATAACACTTCGCACGTCAAGCTTGCATATAGCTAACTAAGATTTTATAGTTGTTATTCATATTGACGATGATGTCATGGCTCTTGTATACTCTATTTGTGTCATTCATTGCATCTGTCAGTATATGACCTAACACATTCTTGTTTGCTTGACGGTGATTGGGATACACTTGCGTTTGTGAACATGTGTGTAAGTCCTTAAATGTACGAACCTGATACAACGTCGTACCGTTAATTACGGTTGCTCTTATTCGCCATTCACACTTTTCTAATATACATATTCATTTGAATCTAGATCGCGTGGAGCGGATGGTTTTCATCTGGTAACCTTCTTCAAGACATTTCAGTCCTAGGGCTAGTTTCAAGTCTTCTTTACTCTTGAAAATTTTACCCAACTTTCAATCGTTTAGAACGTTGATATTTAGGGGCTGATTTTTTGGGCTTCACAATAGGGACTGACGTTGGTAGTAAGGGAGGACATGCCCCAAAATAAATTACCAAGACCTTATTTATCTTCCTCCTCCGCAAGTTCTTTATCTTCCATATCCGATTCGCTATCACTACTATTTGATTGTAACCCCATATATTCATTTGTATTGGGATGATACAAACAATCTCCCGAGACAACCCTATAATAAGGATCAAAATCAACCTTATATTTCTCTGATGCATTTTCAGTGTCATCTAATTTGGCTTCATATTCTTCGGCAGAAATTTCAGAAATACAAATGCCATAATCAAATGGTGGATCTTGGTATTGGTACGTCAGACGATTTTCTATGACTTATATGAGTGTTGTACGGCTGATATGGAGTTTCATACGTCCCCTGGCTATGAAACGGGTGATACTGAGATTGGTATGTTTCAAGTTAGGTTTGAAACGGTTGATACTGAGTTTGGTACGAATGATATGGAGTGCTAGAAGTTGTCTCACCACTTTGGAAAGTTTGGAATGGAAGGAGTGGAAGTATGTTTTGGCTGAAATCCGACTCACATTGGTTTGACACATATGAGACAAGTGGAAGTATATATTGAGGGTGCTCGGCCCCATACACAGTGGCTGGAACAATATCTTGGTTTGAGTTCGATTGATCAATTTCAACACTACGATTGCAAACATACAATCTTAGGGCTTGTAACAAGATATCCATACTAATAGCTAAAAAATGTCTCGTATCATCTGTGTCAAATAACACGACAATCGAACCATATGATAGAGATTTATAAGTTAACTTAAAGCGATTTTGAAAATCAGGTAAATTTAATTTTCTAGCTAAATAATGGATCAAACCTGGAAATGTTGAGTGTATCGGCAGCAATACAACAACTTTTTGCATTTCTGGAATATAATCTACCACGTCGTTGACTAACTGTCACGAACCTCCAAAAAAACACGTACTTAATTTTTCTCAATCACAGACATTGATCCTTGAGAATTTGTAGAAGATAATTTTTTTTGTAAACACTGGATTGATACGTATATATCGATAAATTTTGAGATAAACCAGATATCTATATATAATGTAGGAAGGAAGGAGGAATAAAAAGGAAAAAAAATTATTGCCGGTGGGGCCCTTACACGTTGAACACCGGCCGGTGCGTAAGGGTGTGGTCTTAGTCAAGGGTCCTCGGTTAGGGTGCTGTCAATTCAAGCTTTAGATCTTTTTTTTTTTTTTTTTGCAAATTGGTCCCTCTATGCATTTGCCAATGCATAGATGATAAGAGGTGGTTATTTTTAGAAAGATTTATATTATAAGGTTAAAAATGTATTTTTGAAATAGTATGAGATTAGTCTTCCCACCCTTATTTCCTACAACATATAATAATAATTATACCTAATAATTAAGGTTTCCAAAATTAATACAAATTTTTTATTAGAAAATTAGAAGGATGCTCGCGCAATGCAGCAAGATAAATCTTCATTCTAATGTTTAGTTTTTATTATTTGTCTTTATCGATATAATACGATTTTATGTGGTTTTGGGAAAGCGGTAATGTTTTTAT